GTTCACCAGCAGAGTCTCAGACTGAGAACCCTGCAGTCTGTGCCCCACGGACGACGAAGGACCACACGTGTGGCCTGTCTGTGAACGGACACGCACACAGAGGGCCTGTTCTCTCCCAAGGGGGATTCTCATCGGCCGCCACAGCCCCGAGGCCTGGCCACTTCTGCAAGGACCTGGTGTCCACCCGGAGGGGCGGCCGAGGCCTGCAGGCCACACCCCGCTGCTCCCTGGTCCGCTCCGGAGACCCGGCTGCCTGCAGCACCGTGTTGATTTGCTCAAGTAGATGTAATAGCTCCTACTCACAAGTGTCTATCAGACGCCAGATCTAAACACTGTAACCAAGGGGGCACGGGAGGTGACACACTCGCGGGTGTGACTGACCGTGGGCCCCATCACCCCGGGTGCCTGAGGCCACGCTCCTCTCTGAGACCAGAAGAGGCTCCTCCTGTGGGCTGGGCTGGGCACCCAAGGGCTCCTCGGACACCCAGTGATCTGCCTTCACCCGGTGTTGAGGGTGTCTTTTAGCTTGGCCTGCAGGTCACCAGGCGGAGCGTGGGGTGGGGACAGAGGGTGACCGACCCCAACAGCAGCCGTGACATCAGGGCTCTGTGTCCCCCGCTCTGCACAGCCTGGGCCCCTGCCCAGATGGGAGGAGAGGGGTTCTGCACCCCCACCCCCACCCCCACCCGCTTTCCACCAGGAGAAAAGCCTGGAGCCCCGCCCTCTCCCCGTCCACGTGAGGAAGGAAGGCGTTGGACAGACTCGTCTGGCTTAGCGGACGGCATCTCGTCACTCGGGCTAAAGTGTCCTCCTTCCCACACACCGAACTTGTTTGGACGTTTTTACTAGAACAAGAGAATGAGAGCGTGTAATGCCTGTGAAACGCGAGCATTCTTTCCGAGGCTGCAGCCACCACGTGCCCGTCAGTAAATGAGCTGCATTGTTCGCTACATGAGAGCTCGCACTGTGTGGTCTGGCCAGGAGGCCTGGGAGCGGCCGACAGCTCGAGTCTCATTCAGAAAAGCATGTTCCTCTAAGCACAGGGCAGGCTCAGCAGCGAGTAGGTGCCTCTCTGGTCCAGCAGCTGGGCTGGGGGAGGCGAGGGAGGACCACACGCCCCTGGGCACGTCCCGTCCTTTCTCGGCCGCCATCCGTACCCGCCCACTGTCTCAGGGACAGAGAAGTCCCACAGGTCTGCAGCGGTTCACGCCCCACGGAGCTGGCCATCGTCAACGCAGCTGCCAAGAACACAGCCCACGTGTGTCCTGAAGTAGCTCTGGGATCCGGGGGACGGGAGGCCTCGCCCGAGCAGCAAATACCACGCGCGGCGAGCTCGTGCCTCTGCTTCCTACAGCGGCAGCTCCACGCAGTGACTAAGCCCCACGCGGGGTCCAGACCTGGGGTTCCTGTGAAGGTGCCGATTCGCTCTTTGTGAGTGCCAGGCAGCGTCCATCCTGCACACACACAGGGCGTCAGACTCGCAGCCCCTACACGCGCGTGTGCGTTTGCAGAAGCAGATCAGAGGCAGCGCGGGGCGACATGACAGCCCGCTCCGTTCCGATGGCCCGATGGGCTTGGGAAATCGGCCGCCTCCACGTCTCCCTTCCGGCCACGGGGGCGCCTTCTCTCCTGCACGAGAGGCCTGTGAAGCCGTTTCCCGTCTGCGACACGGAGCCGGAGCTGGTCAGGATGAGCAGGAAGCGGTACACGAAGGGAAGGGCTTCAAAGAGGCACTAAGTCCAGAGAGATGGGCCTTTGAGGGAATAGAGATCACATTCCCATACGCAGAGTCTGTCAGCGCGGCAGGCCCATGGCTGGGCTCCCTCGGGTCCAGGGTTTTCCAAACCCTCCCAGGAGGCACCCTCTACTTTCTTCTTCACTAGCCCCTTTTCTGTGCTTAGGAAAGTGTTTCTGGTCTGAGGGAACTTGCGCTTCAGGCCACAAAGCCTGCGTCCCTGGTGAGATGCCGGAGGGCTCGGGACGGCCGGGAAATGCACACGGCTCCTACAGCCGACAGAGCCCATGGCCCACGTGCACTGCATCTGCCTTCAACCCTGCAACCCGGTGCCCAGTGTCTGAGCAGACGGCGTCCAGGGTCATCCAGGGCTTGTAGGTGTTGCCTCTGATGCCCCAAACCAGCATCTTGCTCTATTTCTAGACCTCGAGGCGTCTCTCTTGGCGTGAGGAGGCCTGAGGTCTGCAGGTGGAATGTTCCAATTGGGCAGAAACGTTCTCCTCCAGACGGAAAAACCGGCAGCCGACTTCAGAAGTTGGAGCGAAGAGAACGGCACGCACCACGTGGAAGCCGAGTCAGTGACGCAGGAACACAGCCCAGGCGTCCACGGGCCAGGTGTCCACGCGAGGTGCCGGGCATCCACGGGCCAGGCGTCCACGCGA